AAACAATCAGCTGTCGTATAGATTTTGCCTAAGTTCCAAATTTGGAAAACCTTCATCTAGCTACTGAAGTGTTATGGAGTGGATAGTTCTTTGGAGTGCGCATCTGTGAGCAAAATCCACATTTAAAATTAGAGATTTCGATTAGATTAGTTTTCTAGTGATTACTATCTGCAGAAAAATACGCGTCTAGTCTGGAAAATAGGTTAAATGCAAAGATTCGGTAAAAATTTTTCATGAGCAAAAAGTTTTTTTGCCCAAGAAGCCTAACCTCTATCCTCCCTCAGTTAGCTGCGAACCGATAGTTGAATCGCCCATAGTATAGGGATTTAGCATGACAGTGAAGAGTCAGGAGAACGCTTTTTACGGCCGCTCCCAGTGAAGTTTGTAACTCAATGAAGGATCACGATTCTTCTTGGCTTCAATATCACTTTTGGCAAGGCTTATTCGACCGCTAATGATCTTAGATCCTCATCTAATGAAATATATGTATCCGCTTCATTGATAACGCATTTAATCATTTGCCTACGTGATTTTTGGGCGGACGCACAAACGGGCATACAAACGGACACACAAAGTTAGCGGTTTATATATATCATGGATTATGTGGGCGGTCCTCAGATACCGTATCGCCACTGGACCTTGGGGGGCCCGTGGCGGTACTCAAGCTCGGGGGATGAAAGAGCGGACTGCGCCAACGGCAGAACTTAAATTACCTACTTAATTGTGTACTTATGATACCACCAGGTCATGCCTGTGGTCTCAACTTAAGAGATACTCATGTCAAGTTATGCCTATAGTTAGTATGTTGAACTAGCATGTTATCACTCATTTTTGCAAAGGGTAGTTTTATTATAAACATAGATATGGTTGTGAATCCACAACAGGGGTGACCTAGTTTCGACGGACGCGCGGAAGGGTGGGTGGCTGTGCAGGATCCGAACGCGGGGGCGGAGTTTGTGCAAGATAACTGTTTGAGCGGGAATTCATAACCGTTCCCGTTCCCACTGTCTACATAGCGCAATTTCTGCGTAGAGCAGCTCGTCAAAACCACGTAATCACGAGGTTGCAGAGGGCTCCGCCGCGCGCGTAGTGGGGTGACCTAGTTCTGACGGAAACGCGGAACTTACGTTTCCCCTGTAGTTATGATCAGCTATTGGCCCAATTAGAGTTGCTTCGCACCTAGGCGCGAGGCGACCTTGATTAAGAGTGGAGGCTCGGAGGTCATAAAACTTTTCAATCATCCTCATTAATCGAGGAGTTGAGAAAAGGAAGGTACTCCCATCTTGCCTACTCCACTACTTTCACCGAATTTTGAACTCTTCGGGTGAAAGGGAGCGGTGATCATGAATTTCATGCAACAAAAATTTGTCTTGCGCAAACCCTGCTCCTATGGGCGGAGTCCGTCGTGTCAGCCACCATAAGTGTTCCTATCCTGTCGCCTGTATTCCTACCAAATTTGAACGTTTTAGGTCCAGGAGAACATGAGTTATGAATTTCGGACAGGCACACACATATACAGGGCGTCCCTAAATTATTTGCGCCGATTTGTAGCAATATATTTGAAACTCTCAACTGCGAAAGACGATGAAATTTCTATGCACGCTAGCTAAAACTGTGTGCTACAACATGCTAAAGTCGCATTTCAAAATATCCCCCGTGAGCGCGGATAGAAGTCAAAGTTTGTTTTCGACTTGATCGCATATGGCACGCAGGTATCCTTCTCCATTTCTTCCCAGCCGTCCTCCAGCTTTTGCATTCTAGGACTCCAAACTGGGACTGCAAACTCGACAGGTCCTCTTCTAAACAGGGACCATTAGTGGGATTCAAGTGAGCCAAGTTCTGGAAAATAGGATGACCATTCCTCTTCACCAATGAAGTCGGGCAGCTGTCGTCGGCACCACTCGCAGGTAAGCTTGGCGCTGTGGGCTAGAGTAGCGTCCTGCTGGAAGGACTACGACATGTCTTAGAAAACGTAGCCTGAACAGTGCTTCATTTCTTCCATCAGCACGCTGTTCGAGTACTGGTCTTGGTCAATTTTCATGCCTGCACCGAAGAAACCACGAGCGGCTTACCCTTGCCAGTGATTTCCTCGAAAAACATCATTTCTGTTCTTTTAACAACCTTTTTGTGAGACATTACACGCTGGATGTTCTTTCCGGAACGCGAACGTTTTGGTTGTTGAGGGATGGTTTTATCGTAAAAAATTTTCTGATCAGAGAAAACGACGATGGGTTGCGTGTCATCATTCAAGTGGGCCTGCGACTTTCTGCATTTTTTGGCCCTGCAGAATCTATTGAGATCGGGATTGGAGCATACGATAGAAATGGTAGTGAGGCTTCTGCATGACATTCTTCCATCGCGATAACTCCTGTAAGCCGTGCCCGTTGACTTCCTTTTGATGGGTCAATCAGGGTCCCGACCGATTGGCATACGGACCATTTTAATAGTCCTATCTTCAGAAACATTCTACCTTTCTATCTTTCCTGGTTTGTCTCTGATTCAATCTTCTTTTCTATATCGTTTAATAGCCTCCTATACGGTTATTAGAAAAATCCCAAAGATTTCATAACGCCCTTCCACTTCGCGCGCGTCAATGATTGCAAGTGGCATTGAATGAGCCTCCTCCATCTGAAAGATATTGGGAGTTCCACATCAGCAACCATGGATATTGCAAGGAAACCTTATGCAACTAATTAATAACAGGTAATGCAAATTTGATATATTATTTCTACCTTAAAAATTTCTGAATTTTGGCGCAAATAATTTTGGGGCACCCTGTACATACCTCACACATACGAACACACACACATAGACACATACATACGAACACACAAACGCACACAGACATTAGCGCGGTATATACAGCAGGATCCTACTGATGGAATCCGTTAAGCGTGTCTATTGGGTGCTTCTGTGTGTTGTGTGTTTAGGTTATGGGTGTGTGCATCTGTGTATGTGTGTTTGTCCGACCGAAAATTCATACTGCTTTCCCAGTGGACTAAAGTATTGACCCTTCACAACAACACGTCTACTTACATCTAAACATAACTTTACCGTTTTTCTTATAGCGTGTAAGTGACCTCGTATTCAAGGATGTAAGTCAGAACTATCCGGCCTTCCCACAATCAGAGGACACAGTGACGGCGAACCGGATATCCAACCTATTTCTGAACTCCTTTGTCATGAAGCTGTAACACTATCCATATTAGCGACCGGTATTGAAGCATACGAAAGACTGAGCACCTGATGGGGTTACGTGATCGTCATAATGTGAACGGATCAAGGACAATATTTTGTAGTACTAACCGAGCAGGAATCCTTATTTTCATTTTTTTTTTCAGAAAAAAGCCATAGTTCATTAACCAATCGTTGGTATCGA